TCCCTGTCGCGGGTCCTCGCTGCCATCCCTGTCGCGGCTGGGCGCCACCGGGGCGGCTGGGGGGCGGCGGCGCCTCGCTCTGCCTCGGGAGAGGCCCCAGGACAGGGCGCGACACTCTCCGGGCCTTGGCGCCTGGTCTCGTCGCTTCACCTCCACCCCCCCGAGGACTCGGTGACTTCCTGCTGGCTTTAGGTCGTTTCTTCCTTTAAAGCGTGCTCTCCTCCTCTCTCCGTGCTGCAGCAGAAAAGGGTTTTGGAGGTGGTGTAGGGCCAGGCCCCTGGTGGGTTGGATCCTGCAGGGAAGATGCAAGCCTGTCCTGCTCGGGGCTTAACCCTGCTCAGGTGTCCCAGCCCTACACAGGCACAACCCATAGCCACTGAGGTTTTCTTTTTATCCCCTTTCCCTCTGGGAAAGATGCAGGTGCATCATACACAGGTGACTAGAAAAGAACTTTATCAACACAAACATGACTTGTAATGAAAGCAAATAGTATTTGAAAATTTTTGCTTTACTTTTAATATATGATCAGGAAAATGTGAAAAATATTCAAGTTCCTGACTATACAGAAGGTGGCAAGTACTAGAAGTGCGGTGGATCACTTAAAAGATGTGTTCCTACTTCCTGAAGCTCTTATGCTGGTCTTGGTGGAAATGCTTGTAACACCTGTTCTTGGTCTTCACTATGCAATTGTGTTATACATGTTCTCACTAATTGCGTATGCTGCATTGCTGCTCTCATATTGGTAAGGTATCCTGTAGGATCACCAGGGTTTGTGGGGATTTTGTTGTTTGTTGGGTGGTTTGCTTTTGCTTTTTTTTGGTGAGACCTTGGTAAGATAATAAAGAATATGCATTTGCTATTTGGTATTTTATATAATTACATATATACCTTCATCCAGCTGAAATCTCTAAATAGGAAGTTTATTTTTCTACAAAGTTGCCACTGAATTCGTATTTACTGAAATGCTTAGCATAGCAGCTGGGGGTAAGAGGGATCATCAAATGAAATGAAGAGGTGGTGGGTTCAAAAGAAGGTACCTCTTCACACAAACCCATTAAATGCTGGAACTCATTGCTACAGGATGTCAGGGATGTCAGAATTTCAAAAAGCAATTGGGCACGATCATGGAAGAAGAATCTGCAGAGATGTTCAACACTAAGGCCTCTGATTCAGGAACTCTTTGAGGTGCAAATCCTCATCCTGCGGAAGTGTTTTGGGGAGCAGCGTCCCCTGTCCTTATGCCGTCATTAGGCAATTCCTGTTGTGCTGGGCTGTATAGAGTCCTGGACTGGACTAGAAATGCTGCTGTTCTGACCCAGCATGGTCATCTCTTTAACTGTTGTTCATTCAACATCTTTTTTCTCTACAATCTTTAATAAATCATAAACAGCAATTCTTGCAATAAGCTTTTGCAATACATAAATGCAGTTTTCTTATGCTCTGTACATCTCTCTTGCCTGTTACTTTGAATGAGAGATGGATGTTTGCTTTGCTGTGTGTTTGTATAATGCTGCAGTATCAAGCTGAGCACTGGTCGTATACTGTGCCTGTATATCCTGGATAATTATTTGATATAAATACTAATAATCTGCATGTCTGAAGATGGCCACAAGCCAAAAGGTTTGCTGCTCGTATAAACATCCTAAATAAGAAACCGTAGAGCTCTAGTCCTCATTTGCTGGCAGAGTTTGCCAGATGGGCCATTTGAGAAAGCAATTAAAATACCAGCAATACCTGCCTAAAGCGTTACAAATTCCATGCTCCTCATCTGCGAGGGCTTGCATTTATGATCTAGGAGTGCGGGACCAGGCCTTGCCAAGCTGCTGACACTGAAGGGTGAGATCAGGGGCGAGACGTGGGCATAGTGGGAGGGGGCGGGGGGACACGACTGTGGGATGCCAGCCCCTGCCTCTGCCCTGAGCCGCTGGCTGCGCCTTCCCCTGTGCAGCCTGGTGCTGGCTGCGGGCCCACAGTGGGTCCACATGCACTGGAGCCCTTCGGCTGACTTACATACTTCTAGTTTTCCTTCAGCTCATCCCGTCTGTTCCCCTAGGTGCTACTGCAGCCCTGTGCCACCCATCTGCATGGCCAGGCAGCTCCTGCAGCCCAGGCAAGGGCTGTAGGTGTGTTCCCATGAGCAGTTCATCAGCCCAACTTTTGTGGGAACCCCAAGTCATCAGTAGCTGGGGATGGACATGAGATCTTGCAGCTCAATGGCATTTGGAGGGCAGCAAAATTTTCTTGGAGTGAGGCAGTATCTGTGAGTAGTTGGAAGAGGAAAACTTTTGTAAATTTTCTAAAGGGATGGAGGTGATAATCTGACACACAGGTATAAGGAGAGAAACACAGAAAGAAAATAAAAATTTAAAATTTATATATATATATATATAATTTTTATTTTCTAAGACAAAGCCTTGTCTTTATTGGCTAGGTATCTTCAGACAGTGCTGATTTACAGACACATATGTAACTTTTCCTCGAATCTGTGTATTGCACTAGCCAGAACTAGACAGTGCCTGTCATTTGGGTAGTTGTACACATGAAAACACATTAATTTAGGTTTGTAATTTTTACATTTTAATGAATTACATTTTTGCTCTTCATTTGGTATGTCAAGATACTGTTGGAGGGAAGTTGCAATTTGGTTCCAAATTTAGAAAACCACAGTTTTTAAATTGTTGGAAATAATCTGGGCGTACCTACCAAAATAATATACTTAATCAGTATTTATTAAACAAAGGTAATATTACTGGATTTGTGAATTCCAGTATTAGTGAGCTAATTGGTTGCAATAACCATGTTTTATGCCTGCCTGGAACAGAAAAATACATTTCTCAGCTATTTCAGTCATGGTCACCCA